ACTAAACATTATGTGACTTGTTTACTTTTTCTATGATAACTGTAAGTATAACTGCTTTGAAACCCACTGTCCCACTTTTCTGGGTCCACCTCTGATTTAATTAGCTTGTTTGATCAAACCATTTTAGGATATGGTTTAACAGAAACAAGCCCAGCTGTAATGCTTTGTCCAAGAAAAAATTGCAAGCCTGGTGCTGTGGGTGTTATGCTACCAAACATTGAAGGGAAAGTAAGTGGAAATGGTAATATTGCATACTGCTGTAGTCCTCAGCAGGCACTCTTGTCAATGATCACCTTGAAAAAGTGTTATGAGTATTATTTCAAAGCAGGTTACTTTCTCAGTCAGAATTCAAGATTGCTGGTAGAAACTTTGATCTAATTTGTTCCTCGACATCAGCACCTCCCTAAAAACTTTTACAAACCCAAAAAGTGCTCTTACACTCTTAATCTCAAGGTTCTACAATATTCTTAACACACTAATTACACTTACATTACTAACTTGGAACTCAATTTTATTTAGTTTCTTGATACTGTTAGTTTTCCTAGACAATTAAAACAAGTAATTGCAAAGATCTAGAATAATCTAACAAGTCAAGTCATTAACAGAAAGATTACACTCTGAAATGAGTAGTTGGTTTTCAATAGCAGCAAATTAGATCAGCTAGGGTCAAATACAATCAATACAATCAATACATACAATCTGTCTTTTCATACTTAGGTGGTTGATGTCCAGACAGGCCAACCTCTCGGCCCAAATAAAGATGGAGAGGTCTGCGTCAGAGGACCTGTTGTTATGAAAGGTTGCACAGCAAATAGAGATTTAAGTCAGAGTGTCTGTGTGTTTTCATAGTCTACAATTAAAATTCTTTTCATAAGAGATACCTGATCAGGGTTTAATTCTTAACATTATTTATGCCTTCTGAAATATCTTCCTTAACCCTTGACTCCCTAACATCAGTATGCATATTCTCCATACTGTTCTCTCTACATTTCTTAAAGTGCTGAGAAGGAGAATTTGTTTTAAAATCAAAAGCTTCTTTAGCTTGGTGATCATTCCTTTATTCTCGTGACCTTAATATTTAATTCTAGGCTGATATTGTAAGGAGAAATTATATGCTAGTCACTCTTAATGGCAAAGGGTTATTTATAAGTTAAGGTGATTCTTGAATGTTTAATATGGGGATTGGGGAAGGTAAAAGGTACTGAGGCATGCATGCCATATGCTCTGGCATTGCCAGGTTTTAGTCCTTTATCTCCTAAGAGTGACAGGCCTCTAATTTCTCCTTACAGTTTCCCTGTTGGATCACATATTAAGGTCATGAGAACAAAGGAAATGATCACCAACTAAAGATACTCTCATTTGTTAAGCAAATTCTCTTTGTCTGCACCCAAGGAAATGTATAGAGAACAGTATGGAGAATATGCATACTGATGTTAAAGTGTAAAGGTTAAAGCCCTTCAAGGTCTTTGCTTGGACAGCTGTTAGCAATTTTCACTTTTCCATTTTCATCAATAGGCTACTTGAATAACCCCAAAGCTACGGAAGAGTGTATAACTCCTGATGGATGGTTCCACACTGGAGACATTGGTTACTATGATGAAGAAGGCAATTTTTTCATTGTAGACAGACTCAAGGAGCTCATAAAATACAAAGGATTTCAGGTAACCTTTAGCATGTGAGCTACAGATAAGTTAATGATTTGTTTGTTAAAGTAATTACTCAACTTCTCTGTCGATTGACTGTGAATATACGAAAAACATATTAGGTGAACTGGAGATAAAGATGTGAATATGAAAGCGACCCTTGTAGTAACGAACACTACCTGAGCAGTAGTGAAAATAAGGCTTGAAAAAAATTCAGAGGTCATGGGTTCAAATCCTGTACAGGCCTGAAATTTTTTGAGGCCTTATTTTCACTGCTGCTCAGGTAGTGTTCATTACTGTGAAGATCACTTTTGTATTCTCTGTCTATTATCTGAATTTGTGAATCTGTAAGTTTAGAGCAGATTATACAATAAGCTGAATTAGACATACACTTTGATTGGTTTAAACTTATGATCTATCAGAGGACAGATGTGTAGATAACATCACTATAAACACATTTTGTCTTTGTTATCGTATAAAACAAATAGATTCCATCTTACCATTGGTCTGAACAGAAATACATCATAGACGACATAAAAAATGTGGTGAGAACATCAGTGACACACTCAGCTGTGCCTCATCTGCCACCATTCTTGGCCAAATATTACATTTTAATGTCATCTGCAATCTATAACTGAAGAGATACTCAATGATATGGAATCTATTTGTTAAATGGTTAGCTTTGAAACTAACAATTGATAAGACTTCTGCTTGATTTCATTTTTGGGCTGAAAAATTGGTATATTGAAACAACTTGACTGCTTTCAGGAAGAGAAGTGATATGACAGGATTCAGCTTTAAATTGTTGAACACTAAGAAGAATTGACTTCTTCAATCAGAAAGAGTCCAACCTAAAGCCCAGCTTGGAAGCAGGGAGGGAAGTAAAGGGTGTGGAGGGGTTACTCCTTCATGGGGGCCTCGACAGAACTGTTTTCTTAATTGAATCTAAGGAGTAAAATATTCCCTATAGGATCAGACATACATTTAGTTTGTCTGGTTACACAACAGACCTGTCTACTTTTCTTGTTTGTAGGTTCCCCCAGCAGAACTGGAAGCACTCCTTCACACACATCCAAATGTACTAGATGTTGCCGTGGTGGGACTTCCTGATGAGGGAGCAGGGGAACTCCCTAAGGCATTCGTTGTCCCAAAAGGAGAAATAACTGAGGGAGAAATCATTGAATTTGTTGCACAGAGAGTTTCTCCCCACAAGAAACTTAGGGGTGGTGTGGAGTTTATTGAGCAGATTCCCAAGACAGCCAGTGGGAAAATATTGAAACGGGAATTGAAAAAATGATGATTTAATTTATTGTTAATTTGATAGTTATGATATTAAAATTAGGTGCAAATGATACTTGTTTGTATGAGCTGTAGATAATTTTCCATGTAAAGTTTATCTCAAGTAATATTATTTTCCAGCCCAACATTTGGATTAATGAAATACAAGTAGGCAAATTTATCTTGCATTGTAATCACCTAGGTAACACCCCATAAAGGAAAAATGGGCCAGCTTGTGAAAGGATTATAAGTTGTATAACCCAGTGGTTTCTGACAAATACATGTATTTCTCTAGAATAACAAAATAGGCGGAAACTGCCTCAAAATACAATCTTTTTCTAGAGTATTGTAATTGAAAGTACTTGTATTTCTTCAGAATAACAAAATAATAGGAAACTGCCCAATAATAGAATTTTTTTAGATTATTGTAATTAAAATTTTTTGCAAGATTTCATTTGGAGAGAATCGCAAAAAAGGGCTTAAGTGCTTTATTGTCCAGCATTGTTGTTACTGAAGGAAAATAAAATCAATTAGTACTGTAAAAGCTGTTGCTGAGTGTTATGCAGTTCACCAAACCAATAATAATGATAAACTTGAAATCGAAAACTCAACCCATTTATTTGCAGCGATTCCAGCAATGTAAGATAGGTTTTCTATAATAAGAAAATTACTCTTTAGTAGTGAAATTACAGTTCACATGAAATGCAATAAAACTCACCGACTGTTTTGAATTCAGAGTGTCAAACATAAACAACTATTTCAGTCAACAAGTATGTCTGCACAAACACAACTAGTTTTTTCTTCGACAAAGCACATGGTTGATTTCATGAATGTTAAAGTGATGTAGGCACGCAATGGGAGCTCTACTGAGATACCACAATTTTCCTGATTGGTTAATAACCAATAATTTTATGCACTGCTAAGCCCATGGAAATTTTTTTGTTTTAATATAAGTTTTGTTTCATAAAAGCAACAGACCACACTTACTATGGGCTTGCTGGCCCAAAAGCCAATGCGGGATGATGTGAGAACTCTTAGAAAGTTTGTAAATCACTTGCCTCCAACTGGTGATTTACAAAAATTTTCTTGTGTCCTCCCAACCTGCCATGAGGGTTATCATGGCAGCAAACCCATTGTAATTGTGGTCTATTTCTTAAATCTTTGACCCCTGAAAGTGATACACATATAATTTCTCCTGATAGTTTCACTCCTAAATCAAGCATTAAGGTCATGAGAATTAGAGGAGATATCTGCAAGATTAAAAAAACCTCAGTTATTGGGCAAATTCTCTTTGTAAGTACCATAGGAAATGTATTGCAGAGAAGTTACAAATGGAGGTTAGGATGGAAATGGTTATTTTTTAGTAAGCTATGACAGTGTATGTAATGTATGTTTTCATTGCTTTTTAATTTGTTGCATGATAAATCTCTTTGACAATACATTCAGCTAAGACACATTTAGCCAAAATCAGGGAATAGTTGTACACCATTTACTTTGATATACTTGTAGTTATAATCACGACCATACTTTTGTAAGGAAAGCATAACTTAATTATGATTACAAAAGCTGTACTTGGAGATTTGTTATTTACACTGCTGACACAAAATGCAGTATACACAACATCATCGTAAAGTAAACCCATCAACTCCCAGAAGTGACTAGCAGTAACTTCTCCCTAAAGTAATCACATATTATCCAGCATATAGGCTATGAGAATACTCAAACTTATCAGGGAGAAATTATCTTGGTCTTTCACCAAATTCTTGTTACTTGCTTGACGGGAGAAGTAACAATCTTATCTTGGGAATAAAATGGTTAAACATGTAGTCTGCTTAATGGTGGAGATGAGTCCTGAGAAAGGTTGAAAGTTATCAAGATCAAAATGTGATGAAGGTTGCCTTTGTTCCAATTAGAAGCAGAACAGGGAAGGACTACATTGAAAAGGGAATCTGAAATCAGAGAGAGGGCAGAAAATGCTCTCATTTCTTCAAGTGAACCATGAGTGTCATTCCCTCATGACTCGGGGGGG